AACCAGCTCTACCGTGGAAGCTACACACACTTCCCTACTTCTCACACAGTGAGTGGCGGTGGGCCACTGTGGTACCTGAGTTCCTACAGGTAGTACCTGGCCAGAGCCTGAAACACCGTCAATGGTGTGAGAGTGATTTTCCCTTCTCAAGTTCATTGTCACCCCCTCAGTCCTGCCACAGGGTGGCGCCAGTCCCTCTCCATCCTCCACTGCTCATTGCTTTCCCCTCTAGCAAGAAGTCATCTTCAGGCTCTGAGTGCCAGCCCCAGGCCAGCAGCTAGCAAGAATTCAGTGACACCACTTCGCTTTCTTTGATTCTTCATGGATAGGAGAGACACTTCCTTTAAAAATAAATCAGTGTAGGCAGAGACAAGGTGCTTCTATTTAATCAAAGTATAAAGAAACTAGTTTGGGCTGTGGCAAATTTCCTAAAGATGGATTCATTCTTCTTAACAAATTGTTTAGTTACTGGCAAGACTTAACCTTTTACTGTCTGGGAGTAGAGCTTTAGGGGAAGGGCAGGATCTTCAGTGGGACCAACGTCATCTGCTGTGAGAAGCTGGATCCTCAGGCCACCACTCAGCTTGACACCCCTGGTCCACACTGGATAGTTGGGCTGTCTTTGAGCTGGGCCTTGCATGATGGTCTAACTGGGGTAGTTACATGCAGCGAAGCTGGTATGGGCCAATTGGGTTTGCCTGGGTGATGTTTTAGGAAGATTATTTAACTTCTCTGTAGCTTAGTTTTTTTGTTTTGTTTTGTTTTCTATCTGTGAAAAGACAGTGACACTGGTGCTCATCTCAGGCTGCTGCAAAGCTCAAATGAGAAAATTAAACATGAAGCATGTGGTAAAGACTTGACAAATGGCCGCTGCTATTACTGTTATTAGCCATTATTGTCAATGAGTTTGGAATTTTCTTTCTCTTTCCTTTCTTTCTTTTTTTTCCCCCTAAATGCTTGAGTGCAACCTGGGGGAGGGGCAGAGGCAAGAGAACCAGCCCAGCACAAAGTCTCCTGGAACGTGTCTGGTCACAGGCACGTCACAGCCCCCCTAACCCCCACCATTTTCCCTGGGATCTTGGCCAAGCCCTAAGCCAGGAAACCTTGTTATATTAATTATGAAGAAAAAGCATGTTTTATTTAAAATGCTGGCTGCCGAATATTCTGCCATGCTGTTTCTCTGTGACAGCAGAATTGCTTTTGCGTTTAGGAAACCCTAATGAATTTAGAATATAAATATATCTGTGCTTATACACACAGGCGATTTCCCGCGACCTGATTTCCCTAAATACCAGGGTACACTGCCAAAGCTAATGAGTTGGACTCATGCTTAGGCTCAGTTTTTAAAAAAAAAAAAATTATGAGAAGTTGCAGTTAAATTTGATCCCTATGTTTTACAGAAGATTCTGTAGATTAGAGCAAAAGGGAGAGAAACACCTTCTCTCCTCTCCTCAGCTGGAAGGAGACTGATGTTCTGGGGCCTGGAAGCCCTACGGAAGATGGCTCACATCTTCCCATACAAGGCCTTGGCCCTGGGGCCCATGTGGATTTAGGTGCTTGAATTGATTAGATGCTGAGACTGCTCATTTGCCCATCCTTAACCAACTCCAGTAGGTACTTCCACAGCACTTCTGGAGATAGCACATAAGTGTGCAGTATCTCTCTGTCTCTGTGTTTGTCTTCCTCCTTGAGGGAACCAGAAAGCCCATGTACAGCAGTACAGTGGGAAGGGTGCAAAGGGTGGTGGGATCACAGCATCTGAGAGACTCAAATTTCTTCTGATAACAGAGCTCTAGCTACTCACCTCACAGTACTGTGCAAGATTATGTGAGCCTGGTGTGACCAGAATGTCTGATTTAAAAAAAAAAAAAATTAGCCAGGGGTTTAGCTCAGCAGCATAAGTGCCTGCCTGGCAAGCTCGAGGTTGTGAGTTCGATCCCCGGTACAAAAAACAAAACAAAACTAAACTAAAAATGCTTGGACATCTATATCTTTGAGTGAAATAGTCTGATTTCTAAATGCTGCCCAGCAACTGAAAGAAAGCTAAACCACTCTGCAGGCTGACCTGCCTGCTGATAAAGCCCAGTCTGTACGCAGGGTAAAATCTACCCTGCCAAACGGCAACCTCTGGCCTCTACAACCATTTCTTGCAGCTGTCTACCTGGCAAGATTCTAGGATCTAAAAGGCCCAGAGTTGCAAGCATACAAGCATTTTAACTGCGAGGTGTCTCTGTTTGGGGAAGCAGTCCCTGCCCCTTCCTGGGGATGGGCCAAGATAAGCAGGACAGGCCTAATGAGCACTGTCTTTTGGATTCGAACCCTAGGAGCAGTCAAATTCCATTGCAGCTACCCAGCATGCCCCAAGTCACTGTAAGAACCACAGCAGGGGTGATTTCTAAGGCAGTCTCCATCTTTGTCATAGTAGCTTCCTATGATGGACAAGGAGTTGGACAGACCAGTGCTCTGGTTCTGGCCAGAGAGTTAATTTAGCATCTCTGGGCTGGTTTTTAATTCAGAAAGTAGGGCTAACAACACACAGCTGTGTTGGAGGCAGGTGTTAAAACCGATCAATAGGAAAAACCTATGTAGACCAAAAGAGAAAGATATATGAGGGAAGCCCCGGAGTTGACAGCAATGATATTAGACCCATATCTCTTTGATCAGTGCACTGGTAGGTATATAAAAATCTAAGTTAAACAGTGATCCCAGAATGCAGTCAGTGTAATATTTGCTGCATGATCTGAATTCATGGGAGACCACCTGGTGTCTCACCCATGGAGAACCATCACAGATCCTAGAACTGCCTATCTTCAGAATTTCAGAGGCATGGGGAGCTAACAACATCCTACCAGCAAATACGGCCCTGGTCTGAGCCTCCTGTGCTCACCAGCAGGAGCATGGCCCCAATATAGACCAAGGACATCTCATGCTGAACCAGGGCCCCAGGCTTATTGCCTATAGCTCAGCTTTGCAACTTCCAAGCTATATGACTTGGGGTCAAGTTATCCAGCTCCATCTCTATAACATGGGAACAGGAATAGTACCCACTGCTACAGGTCCTGCAGGAGATGAACCAATCTAGAGAAAGCTCCTGGCTAGCACTCAGGACTTTTCGTTATGTGGTAGCAGGTGGTTATTATTTTTAACTACATCTGGCTATGTGGTTTCTGTCTCTTGATGATGTCCCAAATTCTCCAAAGCATCTGAGTGACTTGGCCACTTTCCCCTGGATGCCTCTGTGCAGGCCTGTGGCATGTGAGCTGCCTCCCGACCACCTGTCTGGCACACATCTGGAGAAGAAAACATTCCAAAGCCCCGAATCCTCTCTTTGGAATTGACTAAGCTCATTGCCTGAAGGCTATCTCTCATATTTTCTCTTTTATCCATTATTGACTTATAATTTCATTGCTAACCCTAAAAATTCACCGGGGCTTGCAATAAAGGGATTTTTCGGGACCATTATCCTTTTGTGAACTTCAAACAGACTGCATCAACCCTTCTCCTTGGCTGCAAACTTTAGGCTTAATTCCTTCCGACTGGTACTTTCTGTGGACCTCTCATGGGCCTCCCGTAATTCCTACATCCTTTCTCCAGACCTGTGGGATTTCTGCTACGTCTCAGTCCCAGCCAGCCAACAAACAATCAGGTGATGCAGGGAGCCTAAGTACAATCCATAATCTCAGCTACCAGCCATACACAAGTCATGATTTGAAAAGAAAACCCTTCGTGAAGTGAATTACTTGGCAGCTCACTGTGTGGCTAAGAAAGTGTCTGAGAAGTTTACTGAAAGAGGAGGAGGAGCTGTTGTCTTAAAGACATGCTAATGAGAAAACCTGTAATTCAATCCACTCCCTTCAGGAAGCACTCTATGAAGGAAACGACACACAGGCTCTTAATAAGCCACAGAGGCTATGGCTGCTGCTGCAGTTCTCACCCTGCCCGCTTTCTTCCTCCATCTCCTCCACAAAAGGGAGTGTTCTCTGATTTCTGTTTTAACAGAGAAGTTGTATTCATTCTGGAAATTTATAGGAAAAGAGTTAACATTTATCGGAAGTCGCATGCATGATCTCATCTAATTGTGACCTTCCCAAATCTGTGAGAGATTAGCGCTTGGTTTGCGAGGACACTGAGGCTCAGGGGGATCATGTTACTGGCCCAATATTCCATAGCTACAGTGCGGCCAAGCTGAGATTGGAGTCCTGCATCCAAGGCCCTTGCTCAGGCCTCAGCCACAGCCCGTAATGGGACTACCAGGAGGCGCAGTGTTTGCTTAAGGCCCTCTTTTCCCCATCCACACAGATCAAGCTGACACTTGGACCTCAGGAGCACACAGAAGAGGCCCACTCATCTCACCTCAAAGATCTTCAGTCCTCTACTCAAGACCCAGTAATGCCATTTCCCTTCCCTGCTAGCCACAACCCCTCCTTGGGCTCCTGCTCACTCTCTCTCCCCCATTTAGTCCACTATGGTAGTGAAAAATTGAGAAGAAACATTCTCCTTAAATCTAATCCATCTAAGCAAATCCTTTGTCAGGTCACTGACAGCCAGAAAGATTCCCCTGTAAGGTCAAGCATGAGAGATCTTACCCTTGAGTGAGGCCCAGATGGCTGGAAAATTATCTGTGTGTATGTTAGCACCAGCACATAGGTCTATTCTTCTGGGGAAAGAGTTTATGGCTTTCAAAGCCTTCTAAAGGGGTCTCTGAGATGTATGCCAGATTAGAACCCATAGAGGAGGGGGTTTTCTTTAACTAGGCTTCTTGTTCAGGAGTGTTGTGCAGGCTCTGCCCCCAGAGGGTTCGAGCCTGATGAATGTCACCAAGAAACTGGCTGATAGACAACAGCTCAAGCCACAGGCCCACGTGTGATCTCATAGACAGGAAGTCTCAGTATGGCAATCTGCCTTTCACAACTCAAGTGTCACCTGCCCCCAATCTAGCTGAGTGGTCTTCCTAACAACCTCAGGGTCTCCATTCACAGGTCTTTGAAAAGCACACTTACCCCAGCTGCAAACTTTTCCATCAGGACAACTAACAGCAGAACCTGGAGCTCAGACATCCTGGCAAACATCATGGCAGTTTGAGGGTTTGAGGCCTCCCTGTTCGCTTTCAATGTAATTTCTTTTGTTATCTCTGCCTTTGAGGGGTGGGGGTCAGTCTCTGAGGATTCAGGAACAAATGAAGAGGATGCAAATTATTAACTAGGCATCAAATACTGTTTAATGTTTAATGTTTTGCAAACCAACTATCTTGATTAAACAAATGGTAACTTTGGGGCTGGGCTGAGTCACGGGGGTAGCTTCTCTCGAAGACAGTCTCCAAAGTGTGGCCAAATAAAGGTGCATGGTGTGTGTGTGTGTGTGTGTGTGTGTGTGTGCTGTGGGTTCAGTGCAGAGGGCCTGAGGGTGCACTCAGCCACAAGATGAAAGGAGAGGCACCTGCCATGGGCTCCTGCCATTCCTCATTTGGGGAGAATGTCCATAGATTTCTGATTCATCAAATCTCAAACAGAATTACAGTATAGATGGGCTTCTAATAACATCACACTTTATATTCATGAAAGATAAATTAAAGGATGCAAAACTGCTATTGACAAACATTGATTCTAGGCCCTTTGAAGTGTTGCCTACAGTTCCTTGTTGGCTTCAAAAGTTCTCTTTTAAATCTCATTACGTAAGGTTTTTACTTTTTAATTATTTTCCTCCTTTCATTGGAGTCTTTCTTTGATCAATGGGAGGGAAAAAACATGATGCTTAAATTTCAGGACAATTGTTCCTCATTTAGTTACACAGGTCACAGGTAGGGCTATGTAAAGCAGCAATTACCTATTAAACATGGGTTCTGGTGGATACAACTGATCTCTTTAATAACATGGTCTTGAGCTCCTATAAACACCTGACCACCACAGTAATGTGGGTGCCAGGAATCTTCCAGACTTGAGTCCTAGACACAGGTCCTCAGTGCTGCCAACACTTGATCCAATTAACTGTGCCATTGTCCATCTCTATCTTCCTCCGCCATCCTCATCTGGCACTATACAGAGTCCAAGATTTCCCAAGTGGAGGCAAGGAACCATGACTCACCCCACCCATGGGACAGGTTGCAGGTTCACTGATTTCCTTCACGGAGAAAGGATTTTTAGAACACGTCGCCAAGAATATAAAGAGCTTTGTTAGGTAGAAGTTTAAAAGTATACTCTCAAAAAAATAATGTGGGCCCTCCAGAGGAAGAGAGATGCCCTTGTTGTTTGGAGCTGGGTGTTATGGTTTGTGTACAAATGTCCCCCTAAAACCTCATGCAGTCATGAGGGCAGGCTTCTAGTTTGTGACTGATTCATGGCCCATTGCTGGGATTATGGATGCGAGTGCTACACCCAAGTGGGTGTGGCTTACACACAATGTAAGGAACAGAAAAAGTCTTCTTGCATTCTCCTTTCTTTCGGTTCTTGTTGCTTTTGCTGCGATGAACTGTTGCCCTGTGCCATGCCACTTTGCCTTGGAACCAGCTGATTATAGACTGAAACTTCCACAAATGGTGAGTTAAATAAATCTTTCCCTCCTTAATTTTGGGTGTTGGGCATTTTGTCTCATGATGAGAGAAAAATAATCAACACACTGGGTTTATTTCTGGGAACTTGGGGGTATCCCCAAGATAGCTTATCTGAGTGTCCAGTTTTGCTTATTGTTGGGCTCTATTAAAATGCAAACCACTTACATGTGTTGGAGGCTGAGAACTGCTGTCCTCTTTAAAGTGAGAATGGCTAGTAATAGAAGGGAGCCCAATTTACAAGTGAAAGTCATGTATCCCCAGAGCCTAGTTTAGTGGTTTCCTAGAAAGGAAAAAAGTCATGAATAACTTTTGTGTCCTGAAGCTGCAGGGTTTTTTTTTAAGTACATTTTTTTTTTAATCAGTACCGGGGATTAAACTCATGACCGCCTGCTTGCAAGGCAGGTTCTTATGCTGCTGAGCTAAATCCCCAGCCCCTTTAAAGTACATTTTAAATATCGTAATTGTCCTTGTCTCTTCCCTAGCTATATTTACTTTTTTATCCTCATGTCCGCTCAATGGGAAGCCAAGTTGCTACATGGAGGACCTCACTGATTCCAGCCCCAGAGAAGGCTTCAGTCAATACTCCAGCTACGATCTGGGTCTGGAAGGACCAGGCACGTCCTACCACTTTACTACCTAAAGAAATTTCAATTTGCCTTCTTTTCTCCACTTAGTTTGTCTCCAGTATAGAGATCCCACTCTGCTGGCCTCGTTGTTGTCCAGAGGAGCCCACATTTATAATCCTGGGAACAAGTTATTGGAATTCCAATAAGTAATTCCAATCTCCACTTCTGGTACAAGCTTTGACAAGAATAATGACAGAAAAATGTATCTACAGTGGTGGGGAGCCAATTGAGTCAGAACAATGGCTAACCGCAACTAACAGCCCACACCTAGCGCTGAATCTGGATTTTACTAATTCATGAAGAGGAGAGAGGCTTGGGGATGAGTGACTGGGAGAGTGGTGGGAACTATGTGAGTGCTGTGAGCAGGGCTAGGTAAGACACATGATAGCACCTCTGCAACATGCAGAGAGAGGGGTGTAGAAAGAGGACTCTGCACAGCACAACTTGAGGAAGTGTCTCGTGTTTTGGGGTCTGTGCTTCAGCTTTGATGTCTAGTCTTCATGCCCTGAGATGTCATGGGTTGTCTCCTGAGCCGCAGTCTCAGCTGACAGTGTGATGTTACTGGGCGCAGCTCACACACGCTAGTTGAAAGCTCAGGTGGGGCATCACAACTCTACATCACTACATATCAGCACCTCCACTAGCCCCATTTGCGTTGTTTAAAGCCAATTGAGGGGATAAATAAATATCCTGGCCAGCTCCGTGCATATTAATACATGGAATTAGACCAGGTTTAGCCAAAATGGAGAAAACTGTTCTTTCAAGGACATCTATCCTTCTTGGTGGTCCACCACATCCACCTTACTTTAGGAAACAAGAACTTCCTTCAGTCCAAATCCAGCTGACTCCTCTGTAAGACCTGTATATGGTAGTCCTTTACCCTGACATTCTTCTCTAACCTTATCCTATCCTCTTAATCCTTACTCCAACCTTGACTCTGTTCTTTACACTAACCCTAACCACTACTGGCAAAGTCCATTTAGTCACCACACCTAATTTATGCATCTTTTAGGTTTTACCTTAAACACTGCTTCCTCAAAAGCTTTCCATGTATTTTTCCTTTATAGCATTTACAAGGGTCATAATGACGGTACAGTGCTGCTATTTCAGTCCTATTTGTTCCACTGATGGAAACCCCTCAAGACAGGTTCCTGCTTCTATCCCCACAGAACTTCTGGCAGAGATGCCCGGCACTTGACAGCTGCTCAGTAAACTTATGTTGCATGAAATGAACAAAGGAGCATCATGTTATGAAAGTGACAGTTGGCCATTTAATAACTAGGATACTTTTGATGGTGTAGCCATCTCAATGTGAGAAGGAAAATGATGTTAAAAAAAGTATTTGCAACATTTGAATCCCCTTCTAGTTATTCATTAATACTACATTAATACTCTTCAGCTGTTTGCAGAGGGCTACCGTGAGCTGGTCCTGCTGACACACGGATGAGGAGGCAGCTGGGAACTTCATGCCTAAGGACACATGCTGTGGCTGAGGGTGAGAACAAATGGTTAATTTTACTTAATGGTGGGTGTGAAAAGGAAAGAAGGAAGGTGATGGGACAGAAACCCTCATGAGGAAGCATCTCCACAGACTGGGTGGTGACAGTAAGCTCAGGTCATGGAGCAAGATCTTCGAAGCCATTTGCTCTTTTCCAGATTCAAAGGTAGAGTCCCCCTCACATCTGCACAGACATTAAAAACCCAAAATGGAAATGTTCAGGCAAGCCAAACCCCTAAATCACTCCTGTGACAGAGGCATCTCCTCTTACCTCCACTGCTTTGTGCACCAGTGACCTTCAGACTTGAAGAGATTCCCAGAAAACAAACCAGAAGCTTGGCTTCCTGTATGCACAGGAAGTGACCCAGGGAAGTGTGCTGTCACCTTTGTCATCTGGGTTAATTTCCCTGCCATGTAATCTTCCTTTTATTTCAAGTAAAACGGGGACAGTTTTGCTCTTTCTCTTCCTGACTACAGACCTCCCACACATTGTCTTTCATTACCGTGAAGTTTTGTTATCATGACAAAGTGAAATTCAATAATTTTCTATACTTAGTCCTGAAGAACAGCAGTTTCTAAAACACTTAAATCTTTGAATTCAGAAGGACAAAGGGGCGAGTTTACCATGTCATATGTTTTTATCTGGGGAGTTGGAACAAACCTACCTAGGATCTCTAGTTTTTAAATCCAAACACAGAGCCTTCTGTGCTCATCCTGGTGCCGTGTCAGATGGTTCAGATCACACAGTCCTCTGGATGCTTTGGGTGACAGTTTCTCATGCATTGGGTTATACACCATGAGCGGGTGGTGGTGGTGGTTGGGGAGACTGTCCCATATAGCTGGCCTTGGAATGTGGTTTTCTAATGGGTAGATTTCTCCACATTTAGATAAGGAATTCCCCCCCCCCCAGTGCCCTTGATGGGCTCACCTTTGAGGCATCAGCTTAGGGACACTTTCTAACACACAGTTGGCCCTAAATGTAGGTGTTTTACATTTGTTTCCCTGCTTGAATTTGTCATGGGAGCCCTCAGAGAGGCATGTCAAGCAAGACAGTCTGGACTTAACACAGACCTGGAGCTATGCCGAGTCCCCTCAACATTTTCTGAAATTTCCAGAGAGTAAATATTTCAGGTTTTTTCTGACCATTCAGTTTTTTTTGCAAGCCCTCTAAATTCCCTTCTGGCATCACAAAAGCAGTCACAGGCAATCCTTATGCAAATGAGCACTGTTCTCTTCCACTGAAGCTGCATCTACAGAAAGGGGGCTATAGTTTGCACAGCACTGCAGCCAGCGAGGTGGAGACAGACAAAGCTGTGCACAACCCGCAGTGTGTGTGTGTGTGTGTGTGTGTGTGTGTGTGTGTGTGCTAGAAAACAGGGTTGGGGTCTCTGGACTGATGTCACACTGCCATTCTCAGAACCTACCCACTCACACCCTTCTCTCTGGATACCTTCAGACATCTTTGTGATGGTGATGGGGGAGAGTGATGCCACA